TATGTAAGTTATTTCTAATTTTTTAAGATTTATTTTTATTTATATGCCTGTGTATATCTATGTCAGTGTATGTTGTGCATACAAGGGCCCGAAGAGGCCAGATGAAGACATCTGATCCCCTGGAGCTGGAGTCAATTGCAGGCAGTTGTAAGCTGCCTGATGTGGGTGCTGGGAACCAAACTTTGGTCTTCTGGAAGAGCAGAAAGCACCCTTAACCACTGGGCCATCTCTCCAGTCCCTCTTTCTAAATTTAAAAGGAAACCCCAGCCAAAGGAGGGACTAGTAGACTGACCTTAACCAAGGTCATTAAGGAGTCTATGTAATGACTCTGTTCCCTGAATTCTCAATTTAAAAACATTTTTTTGATTTGTTTTATGTGTATTAGTGTTTTGCCTGCACATATGTAAGTACACCTGTGTCATGCAATTCCTGAAGAAGCCAGAAGAGGGCAGCAGATCTGGAACTGGAGTTACCCACAACTGTCAACCACCATGTGAGTGCTGGGAATTGAACCCACCCAAAGGGAAAAGAAGCTCACAGCTTACAACACTCACCATGGTACACAGTCGGTGGTTAAGAGCACTGACTGCTTGTTCAGTTAGGGGTTCAGTTCCCAGCACCCACATGATGGCTAACAACCATCCATAACTCCAGTTCCAGGGGATCCGACACCCTCTTCTGACCTCCTTGGGCATTGCATGACAGATGCACTTGCATACATGCACGTAATATATTCATACACATAAAATTAAATAATAAAATTTTTGTTTATTTTTAACTTTTTTTTTTTTGTCTTTTTGAGACAGGGTCTCTCTGTAGCCCCAGCTGCCCTGAAACTTGCTGTGTAGACCAGGCTGGCCTCAAAATCACAAAAGATCCTCCTGCCTCTACCTTCCAAGTGCTAGGACTAAAGGTGTGCACCACCACACCCAGCAATAATACAATATTTTAAAAATTAAAAATAACATAGGCTGGGTGTGGTGGCACACTTGGGAAGCAGAGGTAGGCAGATCTCTGAGTTACACAAGATACAGGAAATTTCAGGGTGGGGGGCAGAGGG